CCGCCATGTTCATGTTTGTTTGTATTTCATTTTCGTCCCTCTGTAAATAAAATAAACTCACAATAAGTTTTTCGTCAGTGCCAGCACTTGGGTCCTTTCTCTCATTCCTTCCACGCCATCTGCCCTGTCAGATGTGATATATAACATAATGTCTTTATACCATATTATATTGCTCTAGGTGGAATGTGGATTTCAGTGGATTCATCAAAGGATCATCCTCTTAATTGCAAATTTCACATCAGTACCAGTCTTTATCCCGTGCTAAACAGTCCTCACCTTTAAATCTAACTTCTCCTCTCCCTTCCTTGTCTTTCTTACATCTTCCTCCATCTCTGAGTGAACCTATCTCGCACTCTTTTCTTTACTCTGCCTGGAAACACAGCAGCAGCAATACACTGTGTAACAAACAACAAAATCTAAATGTAATTGTAAAATAATGAATTAATCGGTCCTGTCAGAGAAGGCTGTATTTTAGATGTGTGCAAATCAGGCAGAGAACAGTCAGATTACACACCAGTATTTTGTGTGTGTGTGTGTGTGTGTGTTTGTGTGTGTGCACCAGTAGGAAAGAGAATCCAAACTTTGGGACTGCGCAATCCTCTTGTGAAACTTATGAACAGGCTTTCAAAATAAATGAACAGTCATAACAGCAACAATCACAGTCATAAGGAGTTGGCATAAACCCGGCAACATGGTTTGGTTGTGTTGGGTTGTCACACGAGCTGTCCATGTTGAGGGATCATTTTGTGAAACACACACAAAAGATAGGGTCAGGAGGTGTTTTTTAGTTGTCTTGGGTCAGAATCATTTGTTGTGTTGTTATTGTTTTTGTATTACAAGCTTACACAGTATTAGTCATTTATAAATTAGACTGAGATTCAAATCAAAGCAATTACCTTCAGGTTAGATCATTTTTCACCAGCAAATTAAAGGTATGACGTAGCTAGCTTAAAATGTTTATAAAAAAGTCAGTTGGGGATGGTTGTTTCACTGGTTGGTTGTCACATTGCTTGTTACTGTCACACTACAGGGCCTTTTGAAATGCTGTTAATATCACACATTTCACTTGACAGTGCAGTGTTCATTTTGTGAGTACAAAAAATATTTTTGGAGCTAAAAAACAGCTGGAAAACTACATCATTAAGGCTTCTGATATTTATGGTTTTGCATCCAAAAGTCCATAAGCTTGCATGCCACTTTGCAGTTGCACAGAAAGTCACAATCTGAAAGCCCAGTGAGCCTGAGTGAGACTGAAAAAGGCCAACTGGTTATGTGGCTTTCTCAAATGACACTCTACTCACTCCATTTGATCACCAAGCCTGGGGGAAGGGTGTTGTCAGACATTGTGGAGAAGATTACGTTGAAATACAAATGGGCCTGTACGAAATATCTGGTTGGATGACAAAAAGCTTTGTCAACAAAATATTCAAAGGGAAACCCACCCTGCTATATTTCGACAACCGTGGGTCACATCTATCACT